CCTTTGCATTTCCAACCCTCATAGTCCATCCTGATAAGCATTATTCACTACAGTATCACGAGTTACCCATCTGTATCTCCTTTCATCAGCTCCACCCTGACAGACTGAATAGTACCTACTGAAGATTCTGCCTTCCACCGACATGGCAATGATTTTTAAAAATAAAAAAATTAAAAACAGAAAATACTAGGTGTTGGCAAGGCTGTGGGGAAATACAAACCCTTATCCATTGCTGGTGGGATTGTGCATTGGTTCAGTCACTGTGGAAAGTGTTTGTTGTTGTTGTTAAGTACCATCATGATACTGTTAAGTACCTTAGAAGGACCCTGTATAGGATTTCTGAGGAGCAGCTTGTGAGTCTGAACCTACCACCTTGTGGTTCAAACTGAGTTTGCGGTTCAGTTCTTATTCTACAGTGCCACACCAGGACTCCTCAAAAAGCTGAACATAAACCAGCATGTTGTTGTCACTGTTAGGTGTTCTCTATCCCGTTCAGACTCACAGAGACCTGAAGTGTAACAGAACAGAACACTGCCCAGTCCTTACAATACTCTTCATCAAGAGCAGAATTCAAAGATATCAATTCTTTATAGCCTCTTCATTCATTGTCCAGTTTTTCACAAGCATATAAGGAGACTGAAAATACCATGGCTTGAGTCAGGTGACACTTAGTCCTCAAAATGTCACCCTTGATGTGTAACACTAATGCAATACACATCACTTGATTTCTTGACTGGTGTTTCCATGGGTGTTGACTGAAGATGAAAGTAAAATGAAATTATTGACATCAATTTTTTCTCTTTATCATATTGCTTTTTTATCCAGTTGTGACGTTTGGTGTTTCATGTTGAGGTGTAATCTATACTGACATCTATAGTCCTTTATCTTCATTAGTAGATACAACAAGTCTTTACTTTCAGCAAGCAAAGTTTTGTTATTTGCATACTACAGGTTCTTCATGAGTCTTCCTCCAATCCTGATGCTGTGTTCTTCATGTAATCTAACTTGTCATATGTTTTTAGCTCAGCATACAAAATACGTAAGTAGGATGAACGAATATCTCTTTCCTGATTTTAAATTCTGCAGTGTCCCCTGTTTTGCCCAAACAACTGCCTCTTGGTCTATGTACAGGCTCAACATAAACACAACAAAGTACTTCAGAATTCCCATTCGTCAGTGCTATCCATAGTTAGTTATGATCCATACCATCAAACATCTTTGCATAGTCAATAAAACATAGATACTGACAATAAAATACAGGTAAACATCTTTCTGGTATTCTCTGCTTTTAGCCAAGGTCTATCTGTTATCAGCAATGATATTCCCTCATCCCACATCTTCTTCGGAATCTAACTTGAATTTTTGTCAGTCCCCTCTCAAAGTACTACTGTAACCATTTTTGAATTATCATCATCGAAACTCTACCTGAGATATTATCTGATGATTGCTACATTCCGTTGAGTCACCTCTTTAGAATGGGCACAATTACGGATCTCTTCCAATTGGCTGGTCAGGCAGCCAATTTTCTTGACAAAGATGAGTAAGCGCCTCCAGTGCTGCAGAAGTTTGTTGTAAGATTTCAATTTGCACTCTGTAAATTTCTGAAGCCTTGTTTTTCACCAGTGCAGCTTGGACTTCTTCCTTCAATACCATTGATTCTTTATCATAATGTTGTTGTTAAGGGCCACAGAATCGGTTCCAACCCATAGCGACCCTGTATAGGGTTTCCAAGGCGAGGCTGGGGAGCTTGAACTGCCGACCTTTCAGTTCAAATGACTTTGCAGTCTGGTGCATTAACCCACAGCGCCACATCAGGGCTCTTAGGTTAAGTGCACTCATAGGTACACCCAAGAAAGCAGCAACGCAAACAGATACATGCACACCAATGCTCAATGCAGTACTATTCCTAACAGCCAAATAGGAGAAACAACTGAAGTGTCCATCAACTAATGAAAGCATCAACAATATATGGTATTTACATAAAATGGAATATTGGCCAGCCCTAAGGAGAAATGAAGTCCTGAAGCATGCTACACCATGGATGAACTTGGAAGATGTCATGATGAATGAAATAAACCCGACACAAAAGGACAAATACTGTATCCTAAATAATTAGTGGTGAGCAGCAGGGAGTCCTGGGGAGGTACAGTAGGATAAGCATTGGACTACTAACTTACAATATCAGCAGTTCAAACCCACCAACTGCTCTTTGGAAACCCTCTTCAGAGTCACTATGAGTTACACCAACACCATAGCACTTAACAACGAGCAGCAACAGAGTGAGGGAGAAAGGGGAAAAATGTGGGGTTTTGCTTAGAAAGCACAGAATGTATTTAATGGAGAAGTTGAAAAAGATAGTAAAAATGGTTACACAACTTGAAGAATATCATCAACACCACTAAAAGGGACACAGGAGTCCTGGTGTGGGTTAATGCGCTGGACTGCAAGGTCAGTTTGAACCACAAGGTCAGTGATTCAAGCTCACCAGCCACTCCTCAGAAACCATATATAGCATCACTATGGGTTGGAATTGACTCGATGGCACTTAACAACAAGAAAAGGGACACAGAGAAACTGATGAACTGCTATTATGTTTTGCTGTATATGTATCACTATGATTAAAGAGAGAGAGAAAAGGGATGTGTCAAGACGTTTGGGGTTTTCTGTGCGTGTTGCAGCTATAAAGGCAAAGAAAAATCACCATTCACACCTTGAGGCTATACTCTTTGAAAAAAATTCTCATGGGGTGGTGGGGGGGTTCAAAAAGTTAATGGAAAAATGGAATAAAAACATAATGGAATTGTCCATGAGTTTTCTGAGTCCCCTTGTATCTGAGAAGGAAACCATCCCCAGTCCACTATAATGTTCTGCAAAGTCATCATGTCAAACTTTAGAATTATTTCCAGAGTGTTTAAAAGTAAGCATGCCCAGACTCTTCCTCCAATTCAAATGGTCTGGGATGGGGCCCAAACCTCGTGATTGTCACTACATGTCTGCCTGGGTAGTGAGATGTGGGTGTTGACAGCGATGGTGAACTGAGGTATCACTTACTTGTCACTACTTGAAGATATCAGTGTTTGTATCTTTCCTTTCCCAGTATCAACCTGAGTAATTTGCACTGGGTAGGTTCCCTAACATTTACTGAATAAATAGCAAGAAAATGGAAATGAAGAAGGAATTTGGACAGAAGCTACCTGTTCATTGTCAATCGCTTTGTAACCAGGATCAACTTTGAAATAGCAGGCAAGGGCCATACCACATGACCTCTTTTCTGAATGATGTGAAACCAAGACCTTCTTCTGTGCTGTATCTATGACTGAGATCCGCAGCCCCACACACTACCAGTTCCATAACTTGTCTCAATATGTTTTAGTTCTTGATTTGACTCTCAATTAACAATACTTTCCATTTGATGTATTTCCATTTCCAGTTGTGGATTTTTGGTTCACATTTACAAAATGGAGGCTTGGGGTAATGTACAAGTCCTTGGGGGGCCAAATGGCCATTTAATGCAATCTTTCTTTGTATCACTGAGAGAAGGAAAAAGAGGTTTTCTCTCAATGGCTTTGGGAAATACAATCCTAATTCTATTTCTTATGAAAGTGGTAAAATTTAAGGGCAAGGCTATGAAAGTGGATCCTTATCCAGAAATAGAGAAATACCATCTCCAATCTATTTATCTAGTACTGCTAAGGTCATTTTTCAAAGTATGCCAACCTGCTAATCAAGAGTTTTCAAAGTGATGAAACAAAGTATATGATCTGTTGAATGTAAAACTGATGATCTGATTTGTAAACCTTCATTCAATTCACAATTGTCACCTTGACATAAAAAACAAATCAAAACACAAA